CATATAACAAAGTTTATGTAAAATTTGTATCAACAAGCAAAGATCCAAAGCAATGCAAATTATTTATATCTGTATCATATCCCCCTTTCAATGTAAACAAATATTTATAAACAATCACTTAGGGAATTTGGGCATAGTTCTCTCAAAACTACTTCCTACTTTCTGTTAAACAAAGTATTTTGGGGGTATACACGGCATCCTTTCATGGGAGCTAGATACATCAAACCACATTAGTCTGAAATTAATCCACAGGTTCTCATCTTCTATGGAAACAAATGAATAACCTCTTTTCCAAAGCAACAAATACTTAGACCCAAATTTTGGAGTCAAGATACTTTTAAAATATATATGTTGGTTTAGCTTAGCAGCCCATACAATGAAACGTCTCTCTGTACTTAGCTCCTTCACACTCAAATAATTTAAAGATACAATAATATACATAAATCCAGACTCTCTATTTCATATCATATTTCTATCTTTATGTGACTTATTATTCTTTACTCTTTTTAATCTATGACTGTGTACTCTGTCTCTTTACTCTTTTTCCTCTCTCTCCTAAGCCTACATGCATTTTTTAAACACACTATGTCTTATTTAGCGGTCTTTTATGTTTGAATCTGTCCTATTGTATATCTGAAATCCTTTTCTGTCCAGGAGGGCTTCTTAAAATGGTAAGCAGCTAAGCATCTTTACTAAGACTCAGGCTGCTTTGCCTTTTGGCTCCACCCAGTCCAACATGTCAGAGGTCTGTTTCTTGCCTCTGAGAACCATTCTCTCTGCCCCAGATCCAGGGTTAGGTTGCAGCAGGTCTGTGTTGCCATTAAACAAGTTGTAGCACTCTGTTCACAAAACCCATTTAAAAGCTCCATAGCTGGACCTCCCAAATGAGTCAGAGTTCATGCTGGCTGCTTGGCCAAGGAAGCTGCCTTTTCAAAGCCAAGCAGTTCTTGTTGTTGTTGTTACTGTTGAATCAGGAAGACCTCTCTTAAAGAAGTTGCGACATGCTGCCAGCAGAAAAAATATGCAGCTATACTTTGTGTGTGTGTGTGTTTGTGCGGGTGTGTGTCTAGAATTCCTTTCCAAGCCCTTTCATCTTTTACGTGAATTTATCTAGCACATGTTGGAGAGCCAATCTGTTGTGGGAAGGCCGCTTGTTTGTTCCTGGCCGCTCAGCCCCAAAATAACCCCTCAGAAACTGTATTAATTAGATCATTGCTTGGTCTATTAGCTCTAGTTTCTTATAGGCTAGCTCTTACATCTTAATTTAACCCATTTTTATTAATCTGGCAAGGTTCCAGTAAGTCTGTTCCTGATGGCAGCTCTACGGCTTCTCTTCAACTCTGCCTTCTTTCTCACAGCATTGTTTAGTTTTCTCCACCTACTTTATTCTGCTCTGTGCAGGCCCAAGACAGTTTCTTTATTAACTAATGATATTCACATCATACAGAGGGGAAATCAGTCAGTAAAGATCTACATATTTGTCACCTATTTTTAAAATATATTGATTTTTTTAAAAAATATATTGATTTTTAAAAAAACATATATTGATTTTTAAAAAATATTGATTTGTGAACAGTGTCTATGAGTACTTATATCTCAGGACAGGATAATTGATATAAATAGACTTAGAACCAGGAGTTCATAGGTAGAGAATACAAGAAAACCCCTACAATATAGACTTGTACATCTGAACCATGACATACTCTGAATGTAATAATAAAGCTTTCAGCACCAGAAAGGCTCCACACAACCAGAGAAACAAATGACCCAATCTCTGGAAGCCATTTCTGACCATTTTCTTCCTGTTTCCATGGACACACAGGGTCAAGGTTACTACTTCCTCTGCAAAAGTTGGCCTGCTACCATAACAGCTGAACCCCTATCCTACCAATAGCGGAGACAAAGGCTCCCCTAGTGAGGGGGGAAAAAAAGTAGGTAAGTTTGTTTATTTTTGTTTGGTGTGCTAACCATTTTTCTTTTAAGGAGTATGTGCATGATCCATATAGGAGTTTTTCTTTGTCAGGTGTCACATGGGCTTTCAGAAGAATTATTCTTCACATTTTGGTTAGTTTTGGCCTACATGAATTCAGAATGAAATTCTGAGTGGAATAGTGAGAAACAGGAAAAGAGAAGCTTCAATATTTATCAGTGTTTTATGCTCATGACACTGTACCTGCTGGGTTGTTTTTCCCTGCTGCAGGTTGTAGTGTATGTGAGACAGCTCTTTCCCACAGCTCCTGCTCCCAGCCTGCAGGTCAGGTGAACCACTGGCCTCCAGTAAACTGAGTATTCCTTGGATTTGTGTGTTTTTCCACCATGCTCACACATTTTGCAGTTACTTATATTTCTATAGTTTTCTCGTCTGTAAGCGTCGTCTATTTCCACACAGAAACCAAAAAAAAAAATTGTTATGATATACACTCTACATCTATCTGCAACATTTGCTTATCATGTGATTTTCTGTTGAGAAGCTGTGTTAAATACCTTATGCTGCAGGTCCATGAGGCTTTTATTTTAATGGTGAAGGAACCATATTTTTTCAAGATTACATATATATATGTATATATATATGTATATATATATATTTAGTAGCTATTGTTTCATTTAAAAACAAACCTTTAATACAATATAAAAACACATGAAATAATAGCAGAAAATAGAAATGTGATTTTTCTTTTTATCTTTTAACACAAATGGACTCAGGTGTTCATCCAAAAATTTACTAATTGTCTTGTGATATGAAATGTTACTTTTATAATTTATTGCTACTATGTGGTCGAACACATTCCTAGTTTTCCCATATTAAAGGGGCATTAAAGGATTAAATTATCACAGTAGCTTGAGAGCGTATCAAAGGAATATATGTATTATAATGCAAAGAGATTTAATTTAATAAAGACATTGATTATCTAGTCCCCAAATGTTGTTAAATTTCCAAATAATGAGCTTGAGTTTCCATGATGCATACCAGATTCCTGTATCACTAGGAAAATTGAATATTGTTTTATATCCAAGAAGGTAAACACCAGAAGTACGTTTTCACAGAAGACATGCAAATGTGATACATCTCCTAAATTAGCTTCGTTCAATTAGAAGCCAAAAAAAAAGCAAAATGGGAAGTGAAATAGAGCTTGGAATCTTATATTTTCAGTGGAAGGTTTGTCATAGATACTTCTCAGTATTGTTTACTTCTCTAAACAAAAAAAAAACCTGTGAAGCAATAAACACTTAAAAATGCGTGCAGAGTATGGTGGAGTAAATTCTAAGAATTGTTATTGATTAAAAGTTAATGTGACACAAATTATAAATATTTTAATAAAACTTTCCAGGCCTAGAAATATGGGATTCAATAGGGATAAATACTAAGAACTGGTATACACAGGGTGGAGGGAAGAATACCTATGCCCCTACAGATTTTCTATTTGCCATGTGCTTAGCCAGGCAATGGTATGTGATAAAGGGCCCATATCTGCTCTCGAGCTCTCTGCTCCCCCTCCTTAAACACCCTTGTTGTTACCTCATTACGATCTAAGAAAAAGGCAGCAAAGTAGCATAATCCTGATATCCCTGGCCACTGCAAGACCTGACTGTAAATCAGACCTCAGGACTCTCTGAGAGAAAAGGAGACCAATGAGATTTGCTTTAGTCTTATGTCAGGCCCATTAGCAGGGTGAATCCTTAGGGAAGGAAAAGAAGAACGACACCTGCTTATGGGTGTCGCGGAATGGCTGGGAGCATCTGCTCGGCTAAAACTAGTAGAGAATGCCTTGCTGACAATGTCTGCCTGCGATGCCAGGGCCCTGGCACCACATCACTGGACAATTCTACTTATCTCTTCAACTGTTTTCTTACCTTCCTGCTCTAAGCACTTGGCTCCCCTCCTATGTGTCACTAGGGACCTCTCTGCTTTGTCTACTACAAAAGTCACACTGGTATGCCAGGAAGCTTCCTCCTACCCTACTGGCCCCCATCACTTGAAGCGGGACACCTCTCCTCGTTATTTGCTACATTTCTCTCTGATAAACCTTTCGATCTGTTTGCACATGTCAGGGACTGAGATTCGTGTTTCCAGGACACTTACCCCTCTCTTCCTCATAACTCCTCTAGATTCCCCGCCTAGAAGTTTATCACCTCCCCACTAGAGCTGCTTACATTCTCCCAGATACAGGAAAGCAACTAGAATAGACTATGTAAATATCTTGAACTAACACCCTGCAATCAGAGGTTATAAATTCTGACTCTGGATTGCACTCCCCAGAGGCCCTAAATCCCGATATGTACTCTGCCCTGTGTATAAACTTTGGCTATAAAAAGATTCTTAGAGGCCGGGCTCTGGTGGCACACGCCTTTAACCCCAGCACTCAGGAGGCAGAGGCAGGCAGATTTCTGTGAGTTCGAGGTTGGCCTGGTCTACAGAGCCAGTTCCAGGACAGTTAGAGCTGTTACACAGAGAAACCCTGTATGGGAGGCGGGGAGATTCTTGGAGCCCCTTCTCGGGGTACCAAAGCCAGTTCGGCTCTGTGGCTGAACTAGTTAGAAGTTTTTGTTTCTCATGGTGTTTTGAATAAAGTTGCTCCTAGTTATAGACTTAAGTGCCTGATTCCAAATATTTGCCTAACCTCTGGCCCCAACATTATGGTGGCCAGTATTAGGAGGTGCCCAGTTCTGAGAAGACACCCCAATCTCTGGCGACTTTTTTCTACTAGTTCTAGCTGATCAGCAAGTTTTTCTCAGCTTTCTGTATCTGGTGTCCAGACAAACAAACAGGGGGCTCAATATAGAAGAGGCCGACATGCTCTTGACCTCTGGGCCAGAGGGGAGAGACTGAAGCTTCAGCCGGTTTCTGACCTTGGATGGTTCATCTGGGGTCGTTCGGTACTGATTTGGAACCTTGTGGTGCACTGCTCAGTTTTTTTTCCTTCTACATATGCTAGATTTTCCTCTTCTCATTTCTGTCGACTCCCTGTCTCATTTACTGTTGGTCTATTAGTTGTTCTTACTTGTGAATTAATTCCCACCATGGGCCAAACTTCCTCTAAGCTGCAGGTCCCTTTTGGATAGTGTTCTCTCATTTTCAGAATTTTAGGAATACAGCGGCAGTTTCTGTCAGACTTCTTTGCCCCTCTCCAGCTCAAGCGTCCAGGCTCTACACTGCAGTTGTACTGGTAACACCTATCTGACTGGTGGGTGCGGCTCTGTCAGCCAGGGACATGACTGCCCCTCCCCTGTAGATGTCACAGTCCTTGCCCCCGAGTGCCAATGATGAGCCAGGAAGGCATGGTGTGGAGGACAGGGGCGGCAGCAAGGCTGGGCACAGAGCCGCGACCTCTACCAGCCGCTTCTTCCAGATGAAAATAGTTTTCGATCTCACAAAATGGTAAATGCTCCAAAACTACAACAGCAAGAAATACCCAGTTGAGCAGCATCGGTAGTAGTCGCTCCATCAGAAAAACACAAAGGATCAGCCGCCCTCCCTCCCCTTGCCCCCCTTCTCAAATTTCACCTGGAGAATTTAAGAAAAGTTTTATCTGCTTTGAATGTATGGATGTGGCTACTAAATGTTTGTTTCTAAATGTAGGAGTCAGCTATATTTGGTGCATCCTGGCTGCAGGCCTTACGGCCCAAGCTTAGAATTTACCTCTGGGCACTCTGGTCGTTGGGTCTGATGGAATAGAGTTTCAAGTGTAGAAAATTGTTTTATGCGGTTGAAGAGCTGACTTGAAAATCAGGATAAGATTTTTGTATAATTCCTGTTCTGTCTGAAGAACCTGGTTTATAAAAATAGGATCTAAAGCAATGCTTGTTTAATAAGACATTAAAGCATGATTCACTTCTATGCTTTTATATGCAAAAGTATACCTGGTTCTGGCAGTTATGCTCTGTAATTTAGGAGTCACCTAGGCAATAATGATTATAAAGACATAAAAAGGTCATGGGAAACAGCTGAGGTTTGCAACTATATGGCAAGACTACCATGTGGGTCTTAGCAATTTTGAAAATGTCATATGATAGTCAACTAAATAAGATATTTGGTAAATAATATATATCATATATTATATTCTATAATAGAGTTTCTGGTCTCCCTAGAGGGTCCTTTTCCCAGGACTGGGCACTTGGGCGGGGGTCCCCATGGCTTGTCAAAGGCAATACTGGCCTCTGAGTCCAGTCCCTGCACACACACCCCTAGTTCACAGGTCCCTCTTCTCCTGTTCTTCTTTGGTTTGGGGGATTTCTCCCCTGTCACTTTTCTTTGATTTCTCAGGAAACAGCCTTAGCAGTGTGGAGCAAATTTGTTCAGCTTTCACCCACAGAGAGACTACTTTGGTTTCTTTACTACAAACATATTGTAAAAATTAAGGATAATTTTAAAAATGGAAATAAAGCCCTAATCTTATGAAAGTTACTATAATCAGCATTAAAAAACACAAGTTAATAGTTGGTCTTCTTATAAGTTATCAAAGTCTTTAATTATAGTCATGCAAAGTACTAATATAATTAATTACAGAAATAAGCCTTACTTAGCCCCTTATATATATTTTCAAAGTTAAGCTTAAAATGAGTAACTAGAAACAAAGCTTGTTTATTCAGATATATCAAGTAGATAGATAGTCCTCAAATGCTTCAGGGATCTGCAGAATTTGACATTTAAAATGTTCGATAGAAAAAATCTTTTCATAATAAAAAGACATGCCCATTCCTTGCAGCACCCCTATCTCTTCCAAAGAATATGGATGGGACAGAAGAACCTCCATCTGGAGCTCCTTTGCCAAGACACTGTCCAGAGTGTGGGGCAAACAAGACAAAGGGGAATCAATGGCCCTGCTTTGCCTAGACAAATGATTGGTGCTCCCCTCAAAGTTCCTACTCTATAGAAAATTCTGTCAGATCTTCTGGGCCTGGTAGCAGAAGGCTTATGGTCCTCTGAGATCTCTGTCCCCAATGACTATGGGGAAACCGAGGGTACCTGTCTAGGTAGCCAGAAAATCCTTTTGTTTTTTAAAAAAAAATAGATTCAAGAAGCTACTTGGTCTGTATTTCTGCTTTCTCGGGTAAAATTTATCCTTCTCAACTCTGATGGTATTTGATGACTAGACTAATGATAGCCTTGTCAGTTTAATAGTAAAAACCAAGGCTCCAGCTTCTTTCTCAGTTTTCTTTATGTGCAAAATTCAGGCCATAGTGATCTCTCTCTCTCTCTCTCTCTCTCTCTCTCTCTCTCTCTCTCTCTGTCTCTCTCTTTTTCTACCTTACAGCTATTTATAGTTTACCTTGTTTACAGGACTCAGAAAGGAAATTCACTTACAAAACAGATTTCAATGTAATTATTTACTATTTCATTATTAAAAGGAACTTGATCTACAATGACTGCTCTTAGTAATCAACCACCTGCGTCTCCTGGTAAATAATAAAAAAAGTTCATGCTTTTTAAAAAGCAAATCCATAGTTTATGATAGGACTCAAAGATATTAGTCTACCCAGGCTGTTTTACAGACCTCAGTTATCTGATTTTTCTGCAATATGGATTTTAATGCAAAAAGGTAATGCTAATGTATCTAAAAATTTTATATCTTTTTATAAATTAAAAACAATAAAATAAAATAAGTTGTAAGCTTCAGGGAGTCGACTTGGATCCACCTTGAACAGGTCAAAAGAACTCCAGATAAGTACATCCTAAATTTCTCTACCTGTCTATTTCTGTGGGTGATATTTTTCTCTCTCTCCTGGTCTTGGGACTCCTCCCCTTCCCCAGTTCCTAGGATTAAGGACCTAAAAGTTCCAACTGTAATATTTCCCTTTAAATTCCTAAATTTTAACTTCTGTCCCTAGTCTATATCTGTTTCAGCAGATTTCTACTTGACTGACAGACACTTCCAGGCATAAACTGCTGACTTCAATCTGCTCCAAAGGACTGAGAACCCTGGACTTGCTGAAAACTGAGAAGGATCAAATCTGACCTACATGAATGCTCCTTATCACCAGTTGAGTCAATAAACAAAATTCTATTGATAAATGTCCCATTGCCTAAATCCCCTCCTTACCTTTGACTAGTCTTTCAACCTTTCTGGTCCCTGATAATCAAAGCCCCATTTCAGTACATCACCCCTGCTTCCACAATAAGATGAAAAAGGCTAAATTAAAAGAAAACTCCCTGACATGGGGGGAATAATAGCTACCCATGATGTAATGCCTATTAGCATACCAGAAAAAGTACCTGCTAAAACCAATAGACCAAGATCTATCAACAGATAGATTCATTGGCTAAAATAATTATATATTACAATAAATTGCTCAACCTGCTATAAATAAAATATAACTTTAAGATGATCGAAATGAATAAAATTTTGATTCTGATAAAAACTCAAGGAGGGAATGAAGAACCCAAGACTATGAAAAATTGTGTGCTTATAGCCTGATAGTGGTCTTAAAACAAGTGACCTGACCCATTGCCCTACATTGTCCCAGATATGGGGAAGCAGTTAGAATAGATCCAGGCTATGTAAACATCTTGAACTAATATCTTGTAATCAAAAGTAAATCTTGACTCTGGAGTGCATTCCTGAGAAGCCCTAAATCCCAATGTGTATTCTCTGCCCTGTGTATAACCTTTGCTTATTTGATGTGGGAGTTCCCTCTATATGCTGTGAATACCATTGGTTAATAAAGAAACTGTCTCGGAACTACGCAGGAAATAGAAGCAGGCAGAAAAATGCTGGAAGGAAGATGGCAGAGTAAAGGAGAAGCCTTGGAGTTGGTGGAGATAGACTCTGAGAACTTTACCCTGTAAGCCACAGCCACACGGCGATATACAGATTAATACAGTTAATTTTGTATCCTGCTATATTACTGAAAGTGTTTATGCGTTGTAGAAGTTCCTTGGTAGAACTTTTGGGGTCTCTTATGTAAACTATTATATCATCAGCAAAGAGTGAGAGTTTGACTTCTTTTCCAATTTTTATCCCTTTGATCTCATTTTTGGTCTAGTTAGGACTTCAAGAACTATATTGAATAGATATGGAGAGAGTGGACAACCTTTTCTTGTTCCTGATTTCCCTGGAATTGCTGGGAGTTTCTCTCCATTTAGTTTGATGTTGGCAGTGGACTTGCTGTTCATTACCTTTATTATGTTTGGGTATGTTCCTTGTATCCCTACTCTCTTCAAGACCTTTATCATGAAGGGATGCTGTATTTTGTCAAAAGCTTTTTTGGTATCTAATAAAATGATCATGTGGTTTTTGCCCCAAATACAAGGGCACTCTCATATGTAAAAGAAACATTTCTAAAGCTTAAATCATACATTAAACCCCACACATTAATAGTGGGGACTTCAACATTCCCCTCTCACCACTGGACAGGTCAGGCAGACAAAAAATGAACAGAGAAATAAGAGAACTAACAGATCTTATGACTCAAATGAACTTAATAGATATTTATAGAATATTCCATCCAAACATAAAAGAATATACCTTCTTCTCAGCACCTCATGAAATCTTCTCAAAAATTGATCACATAATTGGTAACAAAACAAACCTCAACAAATACAAAAAAAATGGAATAACCCAATGTATCTTATCAGATCACCATGGTTTAAAACTAGAAGTCAACAGGAATACTAATTCCAGAAAACCAACAAACACGTGGAAATTAAACAATGTTCACATGAGTCATCAATGGGTCAAGGAAAAAATGAAGGGAGAAGTTAAAGACTTCCTAAAATTTAATGAAAATGGCCACACAACATACCCAAGTTTATGGGACACAATGAAAACAGTGTTAAGAGGAAAATTCATAGCGCTAAATGCCTACAAAAAGAAGCTGGAAAAATCCCACATTAGTGAATTAATAGAATATTTGAAAACCTTACAAAAAGAAGAAACAAACGTACCTAAGAGAACTAGATGGCAGGAAATAATTAAATTGAGAGCTGAAATCAGCAAAATAGAAACAAAGAAAACAATACAAAGAATCAATGAGACAAAGAGTTGGTTCTTTGAGAAAATCAACAACATAGATAAACCTTTATCCAAACTAACCAAAAGGCAGAGACAGAATATTCAAATTAACAAAATCAGGAGTGAAAAGGGGACATAGCAACAGACAAGGAGGAAATACAGAGAATCATTAGGTCATATTTCGAAAACCTGTACTCCACAAAATTAGAAAACTTAA